ACTTGAGACCGTAAATGCAATGCTTACGGCATTCGATTCTATGATTGTTTTGGGCGATTTAAATCTGCCACATATTTCATGGAACATCATTAACGCCGATGTTGTACCAGTTTCATCTAGAGATAGTTACAATGTATTTCTGGAGGAAATGGCTGAACTATGCCTCAAACAAATAAATATATGTCCAAATAAGTTTGGAAAGGTCTTGGATCTCGTTTACGTTGATGATGTTCCGAAGGCCTCTACTAATCGGTGTGATCCCCTAGTTTTGCCGGAAGATGCATACCATCCTACTCTTGAGTTAAACTACGAAATCATAAATGAAATACATAATAATAAGTCAAGTTCAAGTACTAGATATGTTTTTGCGAAAGCAAATTTCAGGAAAATTAACAAAGAACTTTCAAAGTTATCTTGGCCAATATATAGAGATGACGTGGAGCGTAGCGTTGAGCACTTTAATGATACTGTTTTCAATTTGTTTCGAAAGTATGTGCCAATACGTAATATTGTTCATGAAGAACCAATACAATTATGGTTCACTAAAGAGCTTAAAAAATTGAAAAATAAAAAGTCGCACTCTTTTAAACTGTATAAAAGAACGGGCTTACACAGTGATTACCTAAGGTACTCAGTTTTGCGGCATAGCTACTTTGCATTAAATAAGAAATGTTATAATTCATATTTATGTAAAATTAAGAGGAATTTAATTAACAATCCTAAATCATTTTATGGTTTCGTAAATTCAAAGCGTAAGGCACATGGTTTTCCGTCCGCTATGCATTATCGCAACACTGTATCTAGCGACAGCCAACTCATTGCCAACATGTTTGCTCGGTTCTTTAGGTCCAATTATTCTGTAGACTTCCCTATAAGTGGAGACTATCCGTACGACCTTTGTCCAATCAACTCTGCTTATATTCCAGTAATATCTTCCGATGAAGTTTTACACTATTTAAAAACCTTAAAAGCGTCATTTAGGCCTGGACCTGATCATATTCCGACCTGTTTTCTTAAAAACTGCGCTGAGAACATCTGCGAGCCTTTAACAACTCTATTCAATTTGTCACTTAAACATGGCGTTTTTCCGTCAGCCTGGAAGGAGTCTTTCATAATACCACTTCACAAAAACGGCAGCAGGTCGTCTATAGAAAACTATCGAGGCATAGCGAAACTCTCCGCTATCCCCAAATTATTCGAAGCAATTATTGTTAACCAGCTGACATATTCTATATCTTCTTCAATTACACAATCTCAACACGGGTTTTCTAAAGGAAAATCTACTATTACTAATTTATTGGAGTTTACAACTCATGTCTCAAACGGTTTTAGAGAAAATGCTCATACCGACGTAATTTACACCGATTTCAGTAAAGCTTTTGACAAAGTATGTCACTCGTTACTCATCCGTAAACTCGACCTAATCGGCTTTCAGCCCAGTCTCCTTCAATGGATCTCATCTTACCTCTCTGATAGAACACAAAGAGTTATTGTTAATAATTGTTCTTCCAACATCATTAAAGTATCTTCAGGAGTTCCTCAGGGAAGCCACCTTGGTCCGATTCTGTTCCTGATATTCATTAATGATATTTCTTCTATAATAAAACATTCAAAAATTTTAATGTATGCCGATGATGTGAAACTTTTTAAAACATTGTCCTCTATCGAAGAAAGGTCTTTGTTACAAGCGGATCTGAACAACGTGGTTAGTTGGTGTAATACAAACTATATGCCACTAAACCTTCAAAAATGTAAAGTTATGTGTTTCTCTCGGAGGGCTGTTCAACCAGCTGTTTATTCAATATCAAATTATAATCTGGAGCAGGTATCCAATTTTGTCGATCTTGGTATCACAATGGATTCCAAACTCAATTTCAACCATCATATTAATGTTACAGTCAATAAAGCCAAAGGCGTTTTTGCATTTGTAAGGCGATGGTCAAAAGAGTTCAAAGATCCTTATGTTACAAAAGCTCTTTTTACCAGTTTAGTTAGACCTATACTAGAATAAGGATCTATTGTTTGGAATCCCCGCTACCAAGTTCATTCAGAAAGGATTGAATCAATTCAAAAACAATTCTTGCTTTTTGCATTGCGTAATTTTAACTGGGATTCAGATTACAATCTCCCCCCTTACACAAGTCGTCTAAAGCTCATAAATTTGCCTACACTCGCAAGTCGTAGAGAAATGCTGGGTATAATATTTATCGTAAAATTAATGACAGGCTTGATTAATAGCCCGGCCCTCCTGGCTGAGGTAAATTTTAATGTTCCTTCTCGAGTGTCAAGACACTTTCGACCTCTATTTTTAAAGCCATGCAAAACTAATTTTGAACTAAACGAATCATTCCGTGGTTTATGTCAAGATTTTAACTGTCATTCCAGCACGTTTGACGTATCGGACTCGATTTTTACTATAAAGAAAACTATTATTTCCACTCTCAATAATTGAAATACTATCTTTAGCATATCCAATCAGCTGGTGAGTTTGATTCTGTAGCTGAATAGTTTTAGATCTCGACACTTAACAAACTCCTGTTTCCACTACTCGGCACGAAAAAACTAAAAAAAAAAAAAAAGTTTCCGTACGTCATGCGGACTGCGCCCCTCGTGTCGGTTGGGCGGGAATGGAGGGTAAAAAGCCGTTGGGATTAATTAATGATTTGATATTACTTGAGAACTTTAGGCAACGTGCGAGCCGCCAGGTAATACTTGTGTGGGAAGTTGTTATATTTTTATATTTAATTTTGTGCGAATATTTTCAGGAAGTTATTTACCTTCACCCGAGAGTTATATCTGAGGACATCAATGGAATTATGTCTGGTGACAGAATAAAAACTCGGATGCACTTAAGGATTTCTGCCAGCACGTTTACAAAAATTGTGCAGACAATTCCCCGAAAACATCATGGATGGTCGTGCGAGTATGAAGTTATTTGCTTTTTATTTTGGATGGCATGTGGTTGTAGTTACCGGGTCGCAGCAGCTTTTATGAGTTTCAGTAGGTACACAGTGAGAAATATAATACATAAGATGCTAGAGGACTTTTTGAATCTGCGGCATTTGATTAACCATGGTTCTGTGAACGACTATGATAGACTTGGTTTAAAGTTTTTCCGGAAGGCAAAAAATAAAGCATTCATCAAGTTCATTGGCGCTATCGATGGAACTCATATAAGAATTAAATGCCCTGTTAACAAACATGATGAATATATAAACCATAAGAAGTTTTACTCCATTCAAGTGCAAGCAGTCGCAGATAGTGACTCAAAATTTACTGATGTTTTCGTTGGTTTTCCTGGTTCTGTGCATGACACCCGTGTTTTTCTAAATAGCCCTTTATATGCAAAAGGCAACTATCCACCAAACGGATATTATTTATTTGGTGATAAGGGATACCCGTGTCAACTTTCGCCAGTTCCTGTAATAACGCCATTTAAAGAATCTTTAACTCAAGATCAAGCTCGGTTTAATACTGCACATAGTAGAGGAAGAATTATTGTAGAACAAAGTTTTGGCATTTTAAAGACTAGATGGAGAAATATTTTTAACAGAGATCTAGAGCTAACAATTAAAAATTGTATAAAAACGGTATTTAGTGCATTTGTCTTACATAACATTTGTGTAATGAACGAAGATTTTGACCCTTCAATCACTATACTGGAAGACGAATTTAGTAATGTAAATAACCGAAATGAAAATATACTTTTTGATTCTGTTGACGGTTTAAGAGAAGGAGAACAAATATTTTCATCGTTTTACAAAATGAAAATTCTACCTTCTAAACTGAAGTTTTATAATTTTTTCACAAAAACGCATATTTTAGACAATATAATTTATTTATTACTTTTATGCTTCATGCATTTTTGGTACGTATTCAATATCTAATGCTACATATATGTAAAGTGAGTGGCATAAAATCATAAGTTCGCCACATAGTGTTAGGTTTAGACTATTTATTTATCTATTTTCAAATTAAATTAATTGTTTTTTATAAAAATAAAGTTTCTTCAATAAAAATAAAGTTTCTTCAATAAAAATAAAGTTCGTTCTCTACCTAAAACCGTATAAGTCTTTTTCAAGGAAGCTTCATGTTTTTTGGTATGTAACCAAATCTTGTTACTATATCGCTCATTTACTTCAATAGTGACATAATCAAAGAAATACAAAAATTTAGTTAAGTATGCAGAAATTACCGCTGCCTGTTCTTCTATATTGTGTAAAAATTTCATAGCTGTACCGATTACCAATAGCTCACTAGAACAAAATATGAATTAATTTTTACTAAGGGAGCATATGTATGTAAATTCAAAACTTTAAAGCCGTTTATCTAAAGTGTTGCTTTTTTGAGTTATGACACGATTGAAGTAAATGAAGGATAAGTAGGTACAGCTGCGAGTAACAAAATAGTAGGGCGACATTTTGATCAGTTTTCTTTTCATTAAATAATGCACATTAATTTTTTTTATAAAAGTATGCCGATTATCTCATAAAAATAACATAAAACCACATTTCACACTTTATGAAAAAATTATAAAACTATAGTTTCCTGAATTTTTATAATCTTTGCTCAAAGTTTGAAATGTGGGTTTATGTTATTTTTATTAGGTGTATAGTGGGTAACATAATGATAAAGTCAATGTACATTGATACGTATAGACTATTTGATATTTTTTTTTTTATTTAGATTTTTTTTAAGAATATAGTTTCTTCTTTAACAAAAAACAAGTTCAAGTTTCAAACTAATAAGTGAAATTTCCGTTTTCTAGCCCATTCAACTGATATTTTTTTATATATTCTTATAAAAAAAGGCTAAATAAATTTGGAAAAAATACCAAATCGATGGCTGAGTGGAACGTCGACCTATCTCGGCAGTCAGTTCGAAAACGCCCTATCTCAGAAAATGAATTTGGTTGAAGGATGCCCTATTTTAGAATTTGATTAAAAATACCCTATCTCAGAATTTGGTTCAAAAATGACCTATCTCAAACGAAAATACATTGAAAATGTGCAGAGATTGGGCGTTTTTGAATCAGCAGCTGTGTTTAGAATGTTTTTCAATCAAATTCTAATATACGGCATCCTTCAACCAAATTTAGTAGGGCGTTGTTGAAAAATTTTCTGTGATAGGGCGTTTTCGAACTGACTGCCGAGATAGGTCGATCTTCCACTCAGCCATCGATATAGTCTATACTTATCAATGTACGGTAACCTTATCATTATGACACTCATTATTTAAATAAAAAATTAAGATATCACTTCATTTTTTCTTAAAACTACACGAACTAATAAAATCAAATTCGTATTAAACATTAGTCTGAATCCGATTCGGAAGATACGAGCAAACTGTCTACATTTATGTGGGGATAATCGGTTTGTACCATTTGCCCAAAAACCGCAAGTAAAGATCCCACTCTCCTTTTGAATTTATGGTCACGTCTTATAATATGCTGCTCCAGCCTTTGAAAACGCTCATCTCTGTTGCGCAGCTGTGGAGTGCCCGATCTCGATCGCGATGTGGATGAGCGAGAAGTTGAAGGGGCTGCAGATGAGCTGAAAGGTGTTGGAGATTTCTCTCTCATGGACACTTCTCCTTCTCCGCTGTCCAATAAATAGGGGGATGGTAATTGTCTTTCTGCGAAGCATACTCGTGCATCGCGTCGAAATACTGCCAGTCTTTTGCTTCCTCTGCTACCGCCTCTTCTCCTGTTCCTTCGCCTGGTGTAAAAATAACATTTTGGTAAATACAATTTTAACCTTCAAATGGATGTGTCCATACCTGTTTTGTAGCGAAAGAAACTTTTGTATTTCTTCACTAGAGCATTCCACTGTGACTTGCAGCACATCCAGTCTTTGTTCATTGGAAGCGACGCCGATACTTTTCTGCAAAATTACATTCAGATCTGCCAATCAACTATATATGTACATAAATATTATATTTTACTTACTTCCATCCTTCGTTGGAGTTTGCATTTTTGCCGCTGAACAGCGCATCCTCTTCTGTCCTCCTTCTTATTAACATAAGCCTTTCCGCGTGGTTCCCTTTAAACAGATAGAATAAATAAATACATAAATATTCGCGCACAAGTTTCATTTATCTTATAACTTACAAGTAACGTACGCTTTTTTTGTCATTTTTTCAGCTTCTATTTTGATTTGAACTCTTTATTACCGCCAAACAATGCTATTTGTAAACATATTTAGAAGTTATCAAAATTTTACCTAGCCCCATGAGCTAGGTAAAATTTTGACGTTCGTATTCACCACGAGAAGTGTCAAATTTTTACTTCGATCCGTCAAAATTTTTTATTTTCTATCAATTGGCACAGGGCCTAACAGGCTAACCTAATATTCACGCACGCCGCCAATTTATTGTCAAAAATTTCTCATGCACATGCAACTTGTATGAGATCAACCGAAATTGAACGGCGTGCGTATGAAGCTAACTCAATTTCCAATTTTTGTTCTGCGTGACATTTTGATTTGACGTTTCGCTCAATGAAATCAAATGCAAACGCATGCAAGTGAATTTCGGGTGACGCAAAAAAACAAATTCGACGGCATGCGTACCAAAACGCAAGCCGCGAATATTAGGTTAGCCTGTAAGTGCTCATAACTTCTACATTTATTATTCAATATAGATGAGTAGTTCCTTATTATATTAATGAAGGGCCATACTTTGACGTGCAAGAATCTAAAAGTTAACAGGTTCTTTCATGTTGATATTTTTGCCGAAAGTAACTTTTCTTTTATTATTATTTTTTAATTATACGAAAGTGTCGATTAATTAATGATTAGCTCCTAATCCGTTTAGAAAATTTCGTTTATGCAGAAGATAGTGAATTTAATGTGCTTCAATACTGTTTAGCTTTTAGAGAGTACTGAGGATAGCGCAGGGTCCGCCGGAGGAGTTCCAACCGTGAAAAGAAAAAAGCTTGTACTTTAAAGGCCGGTCCACATAGAACTTTCGCGCTGGCTTTGGCGTTGGAGTTGGTTTGACAGAACGCACGTTAAAAGTATGCTTGCTACAATGAACGTTTGGCAGCGAATGCTTGGGCCACTAAATTAACATACTAACGAGAGATTAATTAATATTTCATATCAATAATTGCACTAAAAAAGATATTTCTTGCTCGCACTTGATTGAAAATGAAAAATATTTCACATAATTGTATTTATTTGCAACAGCTGACGAGCAACGTACGCGAAAAGTTGAGAGTTGGCCATCTTTTTGCTTTGTGTTGGCGTGAGCGTTGTCGAATTTCGGCTATGTGGACGGCTGCATTTGAATTCATGTATTCATAGTCAGCTGTTGAAGCGACGCCAACGCCAACGCAACGCCAAAGTTCTATGTGGACGGGCCTTAAATGTAAATTAATCGATTTATTAAAGCGATAAAAGTATGCTGTTTCAATTTATAGCCCGAACACAATGAAAACGACGAGCTACAAACCACAGCTGTCAAATTATTTTAACACGTACTCTTATGTAGATAATTATTTTGGCGACGACCGGGCTACGCGACGGCTGTGGTTGTGGCCAGATTAGATCTATTTATATTTTTTTGGCGACAGATAAGGTTCTTCTTCTTCTTTTATGTCAAACTCATACAAATTCAATGATGTCGCTGCCGCGTTCAAAGAAATCATGTCGCCATCGACAAAGCGCTTAGATAATAAAGATGACAAATTGGAAGCTGTGGTCGGTAGCTCGTCGTTTTCAATGTGTTCAGAACTTTAGTCGACTTTATTTTGACTATGACTACGGGCCAATGTTACGATTATCCTTGAACCCTCGTCCGGATTTCCCAAATCCTCCGGTTCGTATCGCTGGATTGTTAAATAAAGGCTAACGATGACCAAATGGTAGTATAATTAACTTTATTGTACAACAAACAATTTTACAATACTTGCTAATACAGTAAAAACACTACAATACTTGTTAAAGCAATTACAACGCTTTACTGAACTTGTTACACCGTCTGCTCACTTTACTTGTAGCTTGCTGACTTGTAACTAACTCACCTCGCTGTGGCGGCGCCCTTATATGCCTGCGCTGGCACTTATGGCAACTCTAGAACATTCTGAAGTTTATCGCTCATTCTCTTTCTCTCGCTGTTCGCAGTGTTCATCCAACTTGACGTTTCTCTTTGTGGAACATTCTACGTCATTCCTCGAACATTCTGCCTATTTCTCGTTGTTCGCTTTGTGTTGCCGCAATATTCGCCACACTGCCCTCCACCTAAGTCTGATCGTCCCGATCAGACACACTTGCTGTTCCAAACGCTGCAAGCCTTTCCAAGTGGACCACCTTCATCTTGTTTCTTGGTCTCCCAACGGTCTGGATTCGATATACTACGTCATTCAGCCGTTTGACGACCTTATACGGACCTTCCCAGTTGCATTGTAGTTTTGGGGACAAACCTTTCTTCCGTTGTGGATTGTACAGCAACACTAACCCTCGGAGTTCATTGCCTTATCATACCTGGCCTTCATCTTGTCACTCATAATTTGAGTTCGCTGTCTCACAAGAGCATGTATTTCTCTCAACTCGTCTTCCAGGATGTTGGACGTCTCTTTCCCAATTCTCCTTGCATCGCCAGTTACTCCAAACTTCAGGTCACTAGGCAACCGGAGCTCACTGCCGAAGATTACCCTTGCAGGAGTTTTACCCGTTGTTTCATGCACTGCTGACAGGTATCCCATCAGGTACAGGGGTATGCGGACATCCCAATCTTTCTGATTCTTGTCCACGACCTTTGGCAAATGCTCTTCCATGCAATCTGATTGGGGATGAAGAGCCGTTGTTCGAGTTTTCTGGATACCCAGTATCTGGCACATTTCTTGGAATACCGCCGATTCAAAATTTCTTCCCTGGTCAGAGTGCAGCTCTATAGGTACACCGTATCTCGCAACCCAATTGTAGGTGAATACCTCCGCTACTGTTTTAGCTTCCTGGTTTGGAATCGGGTATACCTCCGGCCATTTGCTAAAGTAGTCCATAATCAAAAGAACGTATTTGTTTCCCTGTGCGCTCAAAGGAAATGGACCGGCTACATCCATGGCAATCCGCTCGAATGGTGCTCCTGAGTTATACTGCTTCATCTGGCCATGACTTCTGGATTTCGGTCCTTTAGCTGCAATACACTCCGCGCAGTTAGCAATCCACTCTGCGACCGATTGCCGACAACCAACCCAATAGAACTTCTGCTTGATCTTTTCCAGGGTTTTCGTGATTCCCAGGTGCCCTCCACTAGGACCATTGTGGAATTCCTTGAGTACATCCGGAATTCTTACCCTTGGAACTACTATCAAGCTGCGGGAGCACTGGCCATCTTCGCTTTCCCATACCCTGTGCAAACAGCCAGATATTAATTTTGAGCTGTTCCATTGTGCCCAGTACGCCTTTGCGATGGGGCTTTCCGCTGCCATTTGCTCCTTAGTTGGCCTTCTGTCCACCTCCAGTCCATGCATCAAAAGCTCCAGATCTGGATCTTCCTGCTGACACTTTCGTAGCTGTTCTTCCTTCCACTCTTCCGCTGGTGTTATAATCGTTAGACGGACGTCTATAATGTCCTCTTTTCCCTCAGCTTTTGAGCAGTGTTTACATTCCAGGCTACATGGTCGGCGGGACATGGCATCAGCATTACCGTGGACACTTCCCTTGCGGTGCTCAATAGCGAAGTCATAACTTAACAGTCTCTCAATCCACCGAGCTAGCTGTCCTTCTGGATTTTTAAACTGTAGTAGCCACTTCAGCGCTGCATGGTCCGTTCGAACTCGGAAACGTTGCCCTTAGAGGTACTTGTGGAAATGTTTGACGCACTCCACCAACGCTAGTAGTTCCCTCCGAGTTACGCAGTAGTTCCTTTCTGGTTTTCCAATCGACCGGCTATAGTAGACAACCACCTTCTCCTGACCATCAATTACCTGCGACAGTACGCCTCCTATGGCATAACCACTAGCATCCGTATCCAAAATAAACGTTGCACCTGGAACGGGATACGCTAGCATAGGTGCAGTACATAGTCGTTCCTTCAGGGTCTGGAAAGCCTCCTCCTGCTCCTTGTTCCACTCGAAGGTTCTACTTTTCCTAGTGAGCTCGTGGAGGCTATTAGCAACGCTGGCGAAATTCGGAACAAATCGGCGGTAGTAGGTGCATAGCCCAAGAAAACTCCGTAGTTCGTGCAGGTTCCTAGGTCTTGGCCAATCCTTTACTGCTTCTATCTTTTCCTTCGCAGTACAGACGCCCTCCGTTGTCACCTCGTGCCCTAAGTAGTTTACCTCCTTCCTGAACAGTGAGCAGTTTTTAGGACTTAGCTTCAGACCAGCGCCAGCTATCCTCTGGAAAACTTCTTCCAAATTGTTCAGGTGTTCCTCAAAGCTTTTATCCAATACGATAATGTCGTCTAGATACACCAAAAATGTTTTCCAATGCAGTCCTTTGAGCACATGGTCCATAAGGCGTTCAAAAGTGGCAGGAGCGTTGCATAATCCAAAGGGCATCACCGTGAATTGCCACAGACCGTCTCCAACGCTGAAAGCTGTCTTCTCCTTATCCTCGTCACTTACCTCCACTTGCCAATAGCCGCTCTTAAGGTCGAGTGTTGAGAACCACTTTGTTCCAGTCAACGAGTCCAGAGTGTCATCGATCCTGGGAAGAGGATAGCTGTCCTTTTTCGTCACATCGTTTAGTTTCCGGTAGTCTACGCAGAACCGCATTTGACCATCCTTCTTCTTCACAAGTACTACCGGCGAACTCCATGGACTCGCTGATGGTTCAATCACACCACTCTCGCTCATTTCTTTTATTATTTGGCTAACAGTTTCACGTTTGGCAAGTGGAACACTCCGAGGAGCTTGACGGATTGGCCTTGCATCGCCAGTATCAATGTTTCACGACGTTAGTCCTGCCTGGTTTGTCGCCATCCTTGTCGAATATGTTGGAGTATCTTCGAAGAAGTTCCTTAGCCTTGTGCTGGTATTTTTCTTCCAACCCTTCCGTCCATGCATTAATGTCTTCCGCAATGTCATTCTCGCCAATGGACTCGCTTTCAGGTAATTTTTCGCAGTCGAAGATTGCCTCTACCTCTCGACATTGCCCCAGTACAGTTCCTCTTCGGAGTTTGACTGGTGATTTGAACTCATTGAGCACTCGAACTGGGATGTGTCCATCCTTTTGCGTCTTAGCCAGGGTTTTACCAATAAGTACGTCCGGTGTAGAATTTTGTGTTGCTTCAACAACCCACAATTTGTTTGTCCCACAATCTCCATCAATCTTTGCCCACACAACTGCTTCTGACTTCGGTGGAATCTGCTCGTTTTCCTCTAGGATCACTCGCTTGCTGCTGTACGGACCATCATACCCAAACCTAAGGGGCACTTCCATATTGTCGTACTTTATGATCCTGTTCTCATGTCGATCTTCATACCTTGACCAAATAAAAAGTCTAATCCAATGATGACTTCATCCATAATCGCCGCGACTATGAACTTGTGTAACACCGTCACATTCCCTATTGCGACTTTGCATGTTACCTCTCCTACAACTTGGGTGTCCTCACCAGTTGCTGTCCTCAACCTTGCTCCAGGTAATGGCCTTACCTCTTTAGTGACCAAATCAGATCGAATGATGGAATGTGATGCGCCCGTATCCACAGTTAGTACTCGCTCATGTCCGTCCACATATCCACCAACAGTAACGTTGCTCGCTTTTCTGCCAATTCTCGAGACGGAGATTATGGGGCATTCAATTGCGGGAGCCAGCGTGCGCCCCTTGCTGCTGGCTCGTTTTAGTTTAACGACTGATCAGAGTCGGGCTCGTCATCCTCAGTCCTGCGTTTACATACTGCCGAACAGTTTGACCTGTTGGAACCCGTCTAACATTCGCGTGCGAAGTGGCCTGGTTTTCCGCATCTAAAGCATTTCCTAGCACCATCCTTTCTCTCGGTTGCACCAGGAGTATTCTTCTCTGCCATCGACTTGAGTGTTTTCAGGATCTCGTTCATCACGTCAGGTGTCTCCACTTTTACTCGATGGGCTTTGTAGGATGGTCTACTTAGGAGCGCCGCCGTTTCACGTGTCTGAGCATACGAGACCGTTTCAGCAAATGTTGGCTTTGGATTTGCATACGTCTCGCGCTTGGTATACACGTCCCGCATTCCGTTGATGAACCTCTGGATTTTTACTCTTTCGAGGTGCTCACCAGATGCATCTCCAATTGCTAAATGAGCCAACCTTTCAACCTCGGAGGCGAATTCCTGTAGTCTCGTTGGATTTCTGGCAGCGATTCTCCAGCTCCATCTGGTAAATCTGTCTCCTGTGCTCGCTACCATAACGTCTTTCCACTGCACCCATTAATGCATCGTAATTGTTCCCTTCACAGTCAGGAATTGTCTGCAAGATTTCCGCTGCAGGTCCGTTTAATGCCACGAACAGAGCAGCGGATTTATCCTCCATGCTCCAACGATTTGCTGTAGCTGTCTTCTCGAACTGGAGCTTAAAGACTTGGAAAGGAATCGTGCCGTCAAAGGATGGAGTCTTTACCTTGGGAACACTTGTCGAAGTAGCTGGACGCTTCATCTGCAAATCTCGGAGGCGACCTTCCAACTCTTCTACCTTTGCTTCGACTTTCTCCTGAATTAGCTCTTCGATTTTATCTTGTCGTTCCTCGATTTTATCCTGTCTCTCTCTGAGTTCCGCGTTATCTTTAAATAAATTCTCTTGTAGCTGAGTAATCTTTTCATCTAGCTGCGATGACATGTACGTTTTCTGTGCTTCCAGCTGGGATGAAATCTGTGATGACATCTGTGACATGGCAGCCAATAACGTGTTCATGTCCATAGCTGGTGATGACGACGGAGCCTTTTGCTGTTCTTCAACCTTCCCGGATGTCTGCTGCATATCCTTCGACGAACAAGGGGCCTCATCCTTCTGTTCATCCTTTGCGGATGCATCGTCAAGTTTACCCTGGAAGTCGTATTTGTCCACGTCGATGCCTTCTGCTTCCATAGCCTCTCGCAGCCGTGATAGTAACTCCACTTTTGTTCGGGAGGTTACGATTATCCTTGAACCCTCTTCCGGATTTCCAAAATCTTCCGGTTCGTATCGCTGGATTCTTAAATAAAGGCTAACGATGACCAAATGGTAGTACAATTAACTTTATTGTACAACAAACAATTTTACAATACTTGCTAATACAGTAAAAACACTACAATACTTGTTAAAGCAATTACAACGCTTTACTGAACTTGTTACACACAATTAAACTTATAACTTGCTTATTCGCAACTCGCTTTTCTGCTCACTTTACTTGTAGCGTGCTGACTTGTAACTAACTCACCTCGCTGTGGCGGCGCCCTTATAAACCTGCGCTGGCACTTATGGCAACTCTAGAACATTCTGAAGTTTATCGCTCATTCTCTTTCTCTCGCTGTTCGCAGTGTTCATCCAACTTGACGTTTCTCTTTGTGGAACATTCTACGTCATTCCTCGAACATTCTGCCTATTTCTCGTTGTTCGCTTTGTGTTGCCGCAATATTCGCCACAATAATTAACTTGCCAGAGTGGCGGTATACAAAATAACGTGATGTGGTTGCGGCGGCGGTTATACAGCGACTCATTGCTTGATCTGCGAAAACGGGTCACCGTACCATCGCTTACAATGCCTTTCATTTGAATACTACAAACCGAATTCGAAGATACAGCGCATGAAGATGTTACCGTATGTGTGAAAATAAATATATGTATACATAAATATAATAAGGGTTACAATAATGGTTGAATTCAAGTAGATTTACGTTATGTAGTAATAGTAGTAATAATAGTAGTATGAATATGTTTTTTTTTTTGGAAAGCGATGAAATTGCTGCCCATGTCTTCAACAAATACTATAGAAGGAAATTTGAGATCCGCCAGCTAAATAATAAAAAATATGGAATTGAGTGCACTTCAGAGTTTCACATCTTTAAAATTTGCCTATATCTCAAAAACTATTGCAGTTTATTGTATTTTGACTACATATTCAGATTCAGCGGAAAATTTTACATGAGGAGTGATGGTGTGCCAGAGGAGGGATTTCTTGTATACTTGTGTAATTATTAATTAGATGAATAGTTTTCTCTAATTGTTTTTTAATCCATCACTTCCAATGGTACTTTTTTTATTTCATGCAATATTGTTTAGTTAAACAGGACTACAATAAGTCGTGTAGAAGGCCTACTGGGGAAACCACGTTAAAAAATAACGCGCCAAATACATTACACCACAAGTACAGTGTAAATTGTGCATATTATGGAGAATACAATTTTTGAATCGCCATATCTCATAAATGGTAATTCTTAGGAAGAAAAATGTTATTACGGTTTTTATAGACAATTGCATGATCTACACTTTAGTCTCATCTATTTTTGGGATAAACCTTACCGGTTTGCAGAAAAATGAAAAAAAATCAATTTATGTGACCTTTGACCTTGAATAAATTTTTTTGCAGACGTGGGATCGATGTGGATTTTTGACTTTTCATTCATAATGGTGTTCATAACACTCGTACCAATTTTCAGCTTTATGCGGATAATTGTAACCTTGAATGTCTAACTTGACCGGGCTATTTGCGTTGTATGAGTTAGGACAGTTTTTAGGTAAATGAGCGTTATGTTCATTGACGCGACATTCATATTGATTATCGAAGATAATTTTCGACCCCAATATCTGTTGGGTAATTTTTTTTTAATTTTTCAATGTAATTAAAAAGTTGAAATTCAGTACTTGTCGAAAAGTATCGAGTTCTCGATACTACTGAGTACTCATGAAAAGTATCGATGTTCTGTACTCGATACTCGTATCGTTCTATCACCAGTGGTACCAGTTTTGCCTTTTTGAGGCTAGCCGCCCTATTCCCACACCACTGACAAAACTCAGCGGCTGACTATTGCCTTTACTACTGCGCCTAATACTATGCCGCAAATTTATTTTAAGCTGTGTTATGACAATTGTCAGTTTTATTGTTATGACCTACTGAGTAAGTGACAACGGCGAAACAATGTTTATATTGTGTTTTAGGCGCAGTAATTGTGACAATAGTCATATGATGAATTTTATCAGTGTTGTGGGAATAGGGCGGTAGATCTAACTTTTTCTTTGTCGTTTAGCTTCGAAATTTAGGATTTAGCTTCGTATCTCTTTTCTAGCCTTTTCTTACTTTAAAACTAGCATTTTTTAAGGACAATCTTCCACAATATTTGCAGTAGCACTAAATTATTGTTCCGGTTCAGTTTTACTTGCGAATATCACCCAGCGTCATTGCTCCGTCCGTCGAAATTTAAAAGGTGTTCGCATGTGGCGATTTTGCGTTCAACTCCCGCAGGGTTGCACGAAAAAAAAGTTGAATGGCTGAATGTTGGCGGCGACCAACTTTGTTAAAAGCGATTAGTTGAAAGGCCATTCAACTAAAAGTAGAATGCAAAGTTGAACAATGCAAACGCCTTTTTATGGCGAATATTTTGATATTTTTTTATATTTTGATATTTTTAGCAACTAAATTTTTTTTCGTCCAACCCTGCGTGAGTTGAACGCAAAAGTTGCCTCAAAAATATGCTTTGAAGCACCCCTGTCGAGTGAAACAGTTTGCCAAATAGAAATCGACTTCGCCGTTTAGTCTGCTTCATTTGCGTGTAATATATACGGTTTGCTCTTCACTTTCCGCGCTCTAATTGAAACATTCACGATTGTAATCGTATTGTAATGTATGAAGATGTTTGGTGGTACAAATATACCACTACTTTGTCTTTAAGGACTATGGGTTTTCGGACCCTAAAAAAAGTGTCCCCTTCATTATTAAAATGGTTTTATTAAACAACTCAAGAAATTTCATGATCGTAAGTACTTTGATTGTCGAGATATTTACATTTTTGTTGCTCGGTGGTGCATTTGTACCACCTCTTTGTACATAAGAGTTAGTTACTACGTTTATACGTAAGCTATTTGCAAATAAAAATAATTTGCAAATACCTAACTCATTGTTAATTCGACGGTGAAAACTTTTTTTTAATATCGCCTGATCGAAAAAGAAAATAAAGTTAAAAATGACAACGTCTTGATTATAAAAAGACAATAAGATGACCATCGAAAAAGAAAATAAACCTAAGAATGGCGGCGTCTTGCGCTTATTTGCAAATAGTACCACTAATCAATACTTATTTGCGTGATTTAGTTATTTGCATATAAAAAATTAAGTCGGCGTTTATACGGGAAAGTTTACCATTTTGCAAATTGTTATTTGCAAATAATACGTGCGTATAAACGTAGTACATGAAATGTTGAAAAGGCTGGCCTTTTTTAACCTTTTATTTTGGGCCATTTAGCTTTTATTAGCTTTTTTATTTGGCCTATCCCTGCAAAAATCGTTGGACCATGTAGTCTATTTGTGGTAAATTGGAGTACTTACAAAAGTGTTCCTCTGTCATGCTGTAGCGGACCAACTGGTGTCTCTGCGCTAGCTTATTGTTTGTTATCCGATCACTTAATCACGTGATTGAAGTTGAGCATTTGAAAGCACATTTGCATGTCTGGCTGTAGCTGAACGTGTAGAGATGCTCGCTGTTAGTTCTTAGCTCCCAGCATGTTCGGGTTCGAATACCGTCAGAGGCAACATGTAATTTTTAATTTTTGTCTTGGTTTTTATTAATTTCGAAAAAGCATTTGAGAAGTGAAGAACAAAAGCGTGTACAAACGAAAAAATATAACAACAATGCCATTGTTAATATGTTGGAGTAGTTTTGTGCTACTCTGATGTAATGCAGGGATGGAGTATATGGTCCTGCCCTAGGACATCGCAATGTTAATTGGACCATATTTTTTATATGAATTGTGGTTAATTTTGGAGTACTCTTTGGTCCTTAGGGAGTACTCTTTACACGCAAGCATGGAGTAGTCGCGATTTTTGCAGGGATGTAGCTTTTTTATTTTTGAAGTCCTGGCAACACTGTCTATCACTACTAATACGTATTTCTTTATTGTCTTGGCAGCATTGCCCGATGTAAGCACGCCATAAAAAACATGAGTATCATAAACAGGAAACGTTACGTGGAATTGTTCAAATATAAAATAAATTCATGTAGATTAAAATGAAAATATGTTAAAACCAATTTAAATATATAATGGTTAATTTCTTGGTACCAAGAGGTTTTTCAAGTTCAAAAGGAGGCCAGAAAAGCCACAACCCAACTGTTTAGTTTTTCGCTAGTGGGTTGCCACTTTTTCAAAGCTCTTTATTTCATGAATTCGCGAACTATGCATAAACGGGACCACTTTTGAATTGATGAAATGAAGCATTCGTGAATTCCGTCGCATAAACGTAGTAGGTTCTTTCCCAATCCGGACCGGAGCCGGTAATTAGAGAATAAGCGAAAAGTTTGCTCTCAAAAATGGAACATAATCCAGAAGTACGGGAACGCAAAAAACCACATTTCGTGCCTAAAATTTGAGAAACAGCTGATTCTCGTTGTTTTTGTTTTTGTCACTTAAATGCAAACTCTTGGACATTGAGTTCTGGTTTCTCAAATTTGATTTTAAGTATATAAAGATTGAAAATAAATCAACAGACCATTTAATATTCCTTAAAAGCACCAAGTACATGTAGGCAACATGTAAACACAAAACAGCTGATGTGCACTGTGACACTATCAATTTTTAATGAATCTTTGGGTGTTAAGGCGCTGGCCCAATGCAGGCTTGCTTTGCTTGCTTAGCTTTGAAAACTGTCAAAAGTTATTTGGAATATACTAAAACGTTTGAAGGGTGGCCAAATGGCAGCTTTGCTTCACTTGCTTTAAGCGCCTTAAAGTTTCAAATAGGCAAATGTTTTATTTGAAAGCGTTTCGTAGGCTTTTGACAAAAAGATATGTTCCCGTTCTAAATCAATTCAAACAAACTGCTGCAGACTTTTATGTACAAAAATTGTCTTACGTAATTTAAAAAAATATATGTATAATATTAGTAATTCAAAGTTTAATAAAAAGTAAGCTATGTTTCCATATTTATATTTAACACTAGCCAATGCCCGCTTACTTCGCGGCGCCTAATAAGAGCTTTTGCGTTAGCCAATGCAAAAGAGCGTTTAAAAACAAAATTAGTCTGTAAAGTCAAATTTTTTTATTTAAGTTGAAACCACTAAGGCGCAGTATCCTCCTCACACATAGGCCAATAATAGCAACGCTGTGATACCATATGGAATACCAATCCCTTTTGGTGTCATGAGCTTTACTGATGGTCTTATTTCCACCTGTGACATCTCTGCCAAGCATGCGTAATCTTTTTGTATGATCTTGCAACTACAACTTTGGTGCGATGCGTATGCCAATAAAAGTTCTTATAGGGAAACTCAAGAGCACAGAAGTGCGTTTTCTGTTATAGGAGGGCCAAGAATCCTCCCTGTCCCACAGGATGAAAAGTTAACCGGTACATTGCTAAATGAGTCGAGCGATCTCTTAAGTATCTTTCAAATGCAGCAATTGATATACCTACGGTGATCTTTCCTTGTTAATTTACCACTTTAACCATTCGTGGTAAAATTTATGAACTGATTTCTGGGTAGATGCAAGACCGCATGATCGTGCATGGGGGCGTCAGAAAAACGTAACCCCATCCTTCATTTAGACATCTGAAAACTAAATTCGTATAACTTAAACATGGGACCAAAGCAGACCAACCACACGGGGTTTCTATACAGTTCGGCTGCAGCGCCATCCATTGGGTTCATTTTCTGCAAAACCATTGCTTACCATAAAATGAATACGTGTTATGAATTTCAACCTTAACTCCAGCAGCACTAATCGGGTAAATTTTTATCAAAAGAATTTTCCATCATACAGGTACATAGCTCACATTTAAAATTTGAACGAAATCGGTTAATAAATACGATTTTTATAAATAACTCTACTCCAGCACCACCTAGCGAGTTTTCTAGTAGCATGTAATTGGACCATATATGTATGTAAGATAACCTCCGACAACATCTATTCAGTGTTTTTTGAGTTTATTCCGAACAACGAAAACGGCTATCATTTTATGCAAATAGGTATGTAGATAGGACAGTTTATAGCGAAACTCGTAAAAGCAAAGCTCCATTCTTTGTGAAAAATTTAAAAAAATTCTTCGAAGTTTTCACATAAATTTTACCGTACTGAAAATTAAAGACGAAGTTACAATAGTTCAATGGGATTAGAAATCTAGGAGAAAATAGTTCCCAATCGAATGATACTTGCGCGTTTACGTAAATGTATATCGATCCAGCCTTTCCAATAATTACCACTTTTCGCCATAACTACGGTATTGATAACATATGTATGTAGCTGTGTAGAATTTCAGGACGATAGCGTAAGCAGTTCCAGAGATAAGCTATATGCGAAGTTCAGTTTGTATGGAAGGAAGGAGCCACGCCCCTTTTCCCAATGCATTTGCAATATATGCGTCAGTGCCAAGTTTCAGTTCCCTAGCGTAATTGGTTTTAGAGATATATTGGTTTTTTACGTTTTAGTCTGTATAAGAATTTTAGGGTATCCCGAGCTACATACCGAGTAAATTTTAGGTCAGAATATTTATTTTCAAGGTGTTGCCAAATATGAATCAAGTCGATGCAGCCGTTTAGTAGTTTAATGAAATACATTGTAAAGAGAACTGTATGAAATTGTAAAACGTGACGTCTCAGATTTCTTAATTTTTTGGTAGCAATAACGAAAAGTTTAAATTTTTTTTAGCGAAAAACCTTCCACACAGAAATAAAAAAAATTAAGTTTGTGGTTATATCAAGGCGAAATTTTGAGAACGATCCGTTCTTCTTCTTCTTATTTGGCGCTGTAACCGCCTAAGCGATTTTGGCCGAGTCCAAAACAGCACGCCAGTCATTTCTCTTCTGTGCTAACTGACGCCAATTGAAAATGCCAAGTGAAGCCAAGTCCTTCTCCACCTGGTCTTTCCAACGCAGAGGAGGCCTTCCTCTTCCTCTGTTACCTGCATCGCGGCCCGCGTTGAATATTTTCAGAGCAGGAGCGTTTCTGTCCATCCGAACGACATGGCCAAGCCAGCGGAGCCGCTGAATTTTAATTCGCTGCACTATGTCTATATCGTTGTAAAGCTCATACAGCTCATCGTTAAATCGTCTGCGATATTCGCCATCACCAACGCGTAAAGGTCCGTAAATCTTTCGCAGAATCTTTCTCTCGAAAACTCCAAGAGCCGCCTCATCAGATGCTTTCATTGTCCATGCTTCCGCGCCATACACCAGCACAGGCATGATGAGTGACTTATAGAGTGTGATCTTTGTACGACGAGAGAGGACTTTACTTCTCAATTGCCTACTCAGCCCAAAGTAGCACTTGTTGGCAAGAGTGATTCTCCGTTGGATTTCAAGGCTGACATTATTATTGGTGTTAATGCAGGTTCCCAAATAAACGAAGTCGTCTACTTTTTCAAACTTGTAACTGTCAACAGTGACGTGGGTGCCAAGACGCGTATGCTCTGACTGTTTGTGTGCTGAAAGGAGATACTTCTTTTTGTCCTCGTTCACCACCAGACCCATTCGCTTTGCTCCTCTATCTAATCCCGAGAAGGCAGAACAGACGTAGCCATTGTTTTTACCGATGATATCGATGTCGTCGGCATACGCCAGCAATTGTACGCTCTTATAAAGTATTGTGCCTGAGCGGTTCAGTTCTGCGGCTCTAATTATCTTCTCCAACATAAGATTAAAGAAATCACACGAAAGGGAGTCCCCTTGTCTGAAACCTCGTTTGGTATCAAACGGCTCGGAGAGGTCCTTCCCTATTCTGACGGAGCTGGTGGTATTGCTCAACGTCATTTTACACAGCCGTATTAGTTT